TTTGCAATTTCATCCATGTTTTGGCTTTCCTGCCCCTTCTCCCCACCCCCCAGTCACTTCTATTTTCCACATTGTGGTCCAGCCAGGGTCATAGCCTTGCCTTTCCTGTCCGCCAGAAATGCTGAACATTCCAGAGATGTGTGTGTTCACATTGAAATGTTGGCCGGGACAACAGGGCCATCCCATCGAGGTAGGGGGGCTGCTTTGCATTTTTCATCCCCGCTCCACTGGGAACAAAAGCGAGATTCTATACAAGGGTGCCAGAATGCCTCTGATCATCCGTGGTTCTAAACCATCTTGTTGCAGCTAACCCTTTCTGTAGCAACATCTGTCCTGAGAGCCCGGGGGAGGATTCTGGAGATGTCTTCTCAGCTAAGGCACCCGTAGAATCTCTTCCTTTCCGGCAGGTGTGGCTGAAATGGTTCCTTTTAAGGAGAAATGCGGGGTAAAAATGTTTTAAATAAAAATCTGTTCCTCTTAGGGTGGCCAGATCAGCAGTAGCTTACCCCAGTGAAGGGTTCCTGCTTGTTTCTTTTGAAGCATGACTTTGTTCTGCCTCCATTACAAACAAAAGTTAAGTCCTTACAGGTAAACGATTTGACAACTCATGTCTGAGCTTTGTCCTCAGCTACATGCCCTGTTCATCCAAAGCACAGGTATGCAAAGCAGGACCTTCCAGGTTTGCTGGTTTGGAACTTCCTGCATTCTTCACCATTGAACTGATGGGAGGTGTCGTTCAGCAGCTGCAGACCACTGATCTAAGGCCCCTTTGAGCTTGGCTGGGTTTGAGGGAGGAAAGCAGCCAGATGCCCATCTGCTCACAAGTGTGGCTTGAAGGAAGAATTTACTGCCGAGTGATGCCCTCTCCCTCTGCGGGAAAGCAAACGCAGTAGTGTGTATTTTATTTACCATGGACTTTACTCTTTCAGTTTCCATGCTGCAGAGCGGAAGACAGTGCTGGGATATGGGTGGACACGTACCATTTTGGAGAGAATCATTACTTCTGTATAGAAAGGTGCACGTGGCTAGAATCGGAAGGGATCTTAAGCCTCATCTAGTCCAGTCCCTGGACCGAGGCAAACCCACACTTCCTGCTCCGTTAATGCCACCTTAGAAGGAAGGCATCAAGAAAACAAGCTTGACTGGGAAAGAAAGTGATGGAGGGTTGAGTCCTAACATTTATCTTGACTTTTGTGTCAGCTAGAAGCACAGCTCCTATTGGGGTGCCTCAGGGCTTCCTCGAGCCATTCCTCTTTTCACTCACATACCTGCTCTGTAGGTCACAGAAACCTCAATGGTATGCTTGTAGCCTGTGTTGTCTGGTTGAGATTGACATGCTAGGTGTGGCGTGTTGTGTGTGTTTGCTTTTGACAGTAACCAGGGTGTGGGAATGGAGGTAAATAAGTTGACCTGGAAGTTAAGCCAGGGTATAGGTTGGTTACAGGCAAGGCTGTGTCACTGGGCTGGCATTTCATGCCATCTTCTCTTTGGAAAAGGCACTAAGTACCTGCGTTCGGTATGTAGAGGATTGATCAGTCATTAATCCGTCAGATTGGGTGTTAACCTGCAGGAAAACACCACCCACAGTAGTCACTGTGGAATGCATGTTGTGAAAACTAACCAGCTCAAAATATTACATCTCCACAGCAATCCACCAAGAACAAGAGGATGATCTAAGACACTGACATGACAACTTGAGCAGATATGCTTACTGGGTGGGGCGGGCAGGCTTGGAGGGTGGAAGGAACTAGGTATAAATAACTAGTTCCTGGAAACGGATTCCTTTTCTCACCTGCAACGGTGTAACTACCTTACCGAGCAATAATTTTACTCCCTTTTGCAGAGTAATTAGTAACATTTAATTAGTTTGACAGTTGTGGGGTGTGGCCTCCCTGATCTGTGTTGAAAGAGTGTGGATTTGAAGTGCTCCTTATCTCCTGCCGATCACAAGGTGGATCCGAGAAAAGTCTGCTTTGTATCATAGGCTGGTATGTAGATTTGTAAGTAAAAAGTAACCTTTGAGTTACTACTAAGAAATTGAGACATTTCTTACTTTTAAAAATTGTCATTGCAAGAGTCACTTATTTCCAGACACCTTGGAATTATTACTCTAATTATATTTATGTAAAGTTTGTTGGAGATTCCAATGGCTTAAAACACCATGGAGTATTTTGGACTTCACATAGTCTCTCTCTCTCTCTCCTCATCTACTCCCAAATTTTACTTCCTAAATTCATGAACTGTTCTGGAGATCTCCAAATCTCACACACTTTTGTGAACTTACATTTGATCCCAGTAATTTTTTTTATTTTATTTTGCAGGATTGTCTACAGCAGCTTCTTATTTTGGAAAGCCCCATGGGGCACGTCCCGGACTCTTGGATGTGTCTGTGGCAGTTTAGAACATTTCCCCCCCCTTCAGCCCAGATTTAGAATGGAACATGTGCATAGACTCAAGGGAAAATACCCATATCTTTGGCTTTCCCTCTAAATATGGAAAAGCAAGGGATGAGAGGAAGACATATACTTCTGTTTTCTCCTGCAGCTATGCTGAACTAAGCTAAGGATGATTTCACGTGGCTGGCAAAGGTCATTGGCCCTGATCATTCACCAAGGTTGACAACCCTGTGTGGATTATTTATTTAAGTATTTATTTAAAATATGTTTACCCCTCCTTTCTCCTTGAAAAGGGCCCAAGGCATATTCATTGTCTTTTCTGATTGTGAGCTGCCTTGGGCGTCTTCAGTTTTCCGAGTTGGTTGCCTGTGCAAGGTTACTGTGTTTCTAGCAGGATTTCCTGTGCCTTCAATGTCTGTGTAAAAGCCTGTAGTTTCATCAGCTAGGCTGCCTCCCATTCCTTCCCATTTCCATAGAAGGAAAAAGGTTGAAATTGTCCCACAAGACATTTTAGTGATCTAGGGGGGGTGAGGGGACCATCTGCGGTGGATCGCATTTTGGATTGTGATGACCGATCACGCTGGTGGATGGAGGACTCGACCGCTTCCGTTCTGGGTGCAGAACTGAGGTTGCAAATTTAGGGAACTTGCGGTTAGAAATAAGCCAGGGTGGTTTCGTTCTTGGTTCCCTGGCACATGATCTTCCTGGAGTTGCGATCTTGGGACATTTAACTTGCAGGAAGGCCTTACTGTGTGTGGTTCCCCCCCCCCCCAATAAATAAATCAACAAATGGGATTTGCTCAGGTGCTGACATGGCAGGAACTGAACTAAGGCCACATGGCAAGAGATAATGGACAGGGTTGGTTTCTGCAGTGAGGGACTACTAGTACTCTGGCTTTAAATGGCTGAGTCAAGCTTGGGCCTACCATGTACAAAACAAGGGCTTTCACCTCTATGCTATGACCTGCTTGTTTTTAATTTAATCTTATTTACTTTATTTATTTATTTATTGTATTTATACCCCGCCTATCTAGTCATTTCGACCACTCTAGGCGGCTTACAATGTAAGGATAACAAGTTCTTTAAAAATTTATAACAATTAATTAATTAAATGATTCTATAAGATGGGAAAAATAAAAATAAATCAGATAAAGAGAAAAAAAAGGAAAGAGGACAGGAATTAACTGGAAGGGAAGGCCTGCCTATACATCCATGTTTTTAGTTGATTCTTAAAATTTTCAAAGAGGAATTGCAGGAATATGTCCAACATATTTTACACCTTGCATTGCTTTGAGGCATGATCAAGAAAGAGCATCAAGTATTGGAAATTATTTGCCCTTGCTTTCTTTGCTGTGCTTGGAAATGCTAATTTATTATCATTTTTGGACTACAACGCTCATGGGAATTTTAACGGAACAAACTGGTGGGCATTTATTTATGGATGAGGAAACCGGGCACTTTAAAAAAATTCTAATGTTCAGGGAAAGGCAACTGTAAATGGGATATCCATGACTCCCTCCCAGCTATTGTTTAAGAAGGCACTTAAAACACTGCTTTTCAGGGAGGCCTTTTACCCTGATCTTGGTTGACTTCATCACTCCTGTCCTGCTATTATAGGGACAATTATCTCCAGTGCCATTTGTTTGATGCTCTTGTCTAATTTTATATTTTATTTCTGTTTATTATATGATTTAACTTGCTGTAAACCACCCAGAAGAGTGCTTCACACTAATGGGGCAGTATATAAACGAAATAAATAAATCCATGTGTTTATGAACACTGCAAATTAACATTGTCTGCAGCAGAAATGATGGACTTGCGGTCGTCCATACGTTGTGGGGATCCCAAATCCCATCTCACCCTGCCAGCCCAGCAAGTGGTGCAGGATAATGGGAACTGTAGTCTAGCAACACTGTGTTTCTGAAACGTTTTCTGATCACAACGAAAGAGTTCCTTTAATTCTCTTAGCACTGAATTAAACTCCTGTTTATGCGAATGTCATTCATCCAGGGCCATTATGAATGAGGTAGGAATGTTAGCACTGCAACTAAACAGTTATACATTAAATTAAACATCCATAAACATGAGGGGTAGGAAAAGGCGCGCAACCCCCTCAGCCGCCTGAGGTAGCCTGAGGGAGAGGAGGGCGCCGTTGGGCCCAGCTGCGCACGCGCGGTTTAGAATCCCTCCACGGAGCTCCCTTAACAACCACGAGCCGAAGCTGGGGTGGGGTGGGGGGAATCGTATTGCGCCGGCGCGCTGACACCTTTCCTCGCCTAGACCAGGCGGAGCGAAAGGTGATTGGCAAGGGGCCACATCGGGGGGGGGGAGGGGGAGAAGGAGGAGCAAATCCTGCGCGTGCGCCGTTCCAAGCTAAGGTTTCCCAACCCATATTCTTTTAAGAATGGAGGGTTGAAGGTGAGAGAAGGATGGGCCCCTCCCCACGGCCCGCTCCTTTGTGGGCGGGACCCGTTCGCTCCGCCTCCTGGGGCGCATGCGCGGGCCCCTCCTAGGAGCCAACCACGGGAGGGGGGGAAGGCGTGTCGGCTGGGCCGCGCGCCCGTGCGCAGGCGCAGTCGCGGAGGTAGGAGGGCGAGGGAGCGCGGCGGTGCCAGTCGTCGCCTGTCGGTCGGTGAGGGAGCCCGTTCCGCCGCTTCGCTCGGAGCTGGGGCGCTCCTCTCTCTCTCTCTCTTTTTTCTCCCTCCCCGCCCCTCAGAGAGAGCGAGAGAGGCCGCCGAGCCACCGCTTGCCGGGGAGCAGCTTCCAGACCATGGTGGATTACCACACCGCCGGACAACCCACTTACCAGTACGGCGGCAACGGCCCGGGCATCGGCGACTACATGGCTCAGGAGGACGACTGGGACCGCGACCTCTTGCTCGACCCGGCCTGGGAGAAGCAGCAGCGGAAGGTGAGCCGAGGGCCGCCGCCGCCGCCGTTTTCCTCCTCCTCCTCCTTCGTCAAGAATGGCAAGCAGAGGAGGGGGAGTGCCTCTGGGCTTGTGCAGAGCGCCGGCAGCGAATGGGAAGGGGAGGGGAGCTGGGCCTGGCTCTCCAGGTCGAGGAGAGCCCTTTGAAATCTTGCAAGGAGCCCTTCTCTCCTGAGGGTCTCTCCAGGCACGATCTGGAGGAGGTTGGGAGGGAAGGGTCGGGTCTTCTCCAGGTCGAGGAGAGCCCTTTGAAATCTTGCAAGGAGCCCTTCTCTCCTGAGGGTCTCTCCAGGCAAGGCAAGATCTAGGTTGGGAGGGAAGGGTCTGGGTTTTAAGGGTATTTCTGGGACAAAATTGGCGCCAGGCCGGGGAGAAGCGCGTGTTGAAAGGGGTGGGTGGGGAACCGGGCTGAGTGAAGGCATGGGGCATGATCTGAATGGCCGCCTTGCCTTCTGTCTGCTGGGAAGCAAAGTTGGGGTAGAACCTTCTTAGACAAGGAGGTTCGGAGGTGGCAGGGAAGATGGAGGAAGAAACGGGGTTGTGGGTGCCAAACCAGAGGTAAAGTCTACCCGTTGCAAGTAGAGGGGGGGGCAGCTGGGCATTGAGGCATCCCCTCCAAGCGTGCAGTGAGATTCTGTAGCAATAATAGGAACCCAGTAGGAAATTAATAATTGTTGTGTCTGCCTGGTATTGCACCAAGTGTTATGCCGGAGAAGAAGGGATCATGTCCAGCCAAAAGCGTGTAGGGCTGTTGGTGTGCATGGCTGTGGGGGGTGTATTGCAGTGTAGGAGGAAGGGGAGCGGTTTGGAAATGTTGACAGTATTTAAGGGCTCTGGCCTGGGGGAGCCACGCAGAGGTGGTGGACAAAGGGCAGACCAGGCAGGCAGGGGTTGGAGTAGGTGGGTAGCTGGTGCTTTCTAGAGTCTCCCAGATGGTGGGTGTGAATCTTGGAGGGGAAGATGTTTAGGGAGCAGGGTTGGATTATTTTGGTGGATGGATGGACAGAGTATCCTTCAGGCAGGATGATAGGGGGACCTAGATTTGTAGAGGGTGTTTTGGCCTGAATAGCTTTGCAGAACCGTTCTGCATTAGTCCATTCAGAAGCAAATTTTATTGAGCCCAATAAGATGTCCCTGAAGCCCAGTTTATGCCACACCGTTGGTTCCTATTCAGTTTGGTCTAAAGCAGTGGTTCTTAACCTTTGTTACTCAGATGCTTTTGAACTGCAACTCCCAGAAACCCCAGTCAGCACAGCCGGTGGTAAAGGCTTCTGGGAGTTGCAGTCCAAAACTCCTGAGTAACCCAAGGTTAAGAACCAGTGGTCTAAAGGACTGACAAGCAATCTGGGGGAGATTTAGAATATGATAGATAGTGACTTGCAAGCTTGTTTTTGAGGGATAAAGGCTTCTGGATGTGGGATTTGAAAGACTGGGGAGAAAAAAGGACAGAAGTAGGAGGCGAGCAGTGTGGTTTTAAGGGACAGTTGGTTTGTGGGGTCTAGAGTAGGATGCCAAAGGCAAAATACCCTTTTTGGGGGCCTGGGATGAGCAGGCTGGTGAGATAAGAAGAGCACATGGAAACCCTTGGGTGAGAATCTGCTGCACCTTAGTTTACTGGGGAGGAGGTTTGGGGTAATAATGACATGGATCTGGTACAGTTTAGCCCTGGGGTTTAGTGAATCCGGTTTTCCAGGCCTTGCACTCAGGGCCGAGTGTAAAGAGGGGTTGCAAAGGCTAGCCTACCTGCTGATGAAGCTGACTGCTGTTACACTATGGAAATGTCTGGGAAAGGTGTGGAGAAGGGAGGTGGTGTAGGAATAACAGAAGCAGCGCTACTGGGTGGGGCAGAGAAACTTGTCTGGTAAGGCCTGGGTTGTCATTCCTCCCTCCCTCCCAGCATTCTCTTTTGACTGATTGATTCATCCTTCATAGGGAGGTGGAGAGAGTTGAGAGGGATGACTTTTACGGGATCCTCCTGTCCTGCTCAACTGCTGGGAATTACTAGTATTTTAATTGCAAGTGGCTCATCTCAGAAAACACCTCTGGAAGCTCTGACTGCTCAGAATTGCTCAGCGTTTCTCTCTCTCCTTGAGCCACTTTTTTGAGTGACATGGAAGCCCCCCTCAAAGCAGCCTTTGCTTCTTGTCCCCTCCCTCAAAAGCAGACCATCTCCTGTCTCTTTTATTGACTCGTTTGCTGTTCGCGTGGCTGACCCGTATTATTACCTTGTAGTTGTAGACCGTTTCATTGCGAATAGGGTGGGGCAGGTGTGCAGTGCTTATGAATTTTAAGTGCTTCATAAATACAATGTTAATGATCACATTGTTTTGTCTCCCTGGGCATTGGTTACAGGATGCTGCCACTACATTTTAATTTTGTCTGTATTATAGCGCTAAGTACTATGAATATACAGGTGTATCGGCCCCATCCAGAAACTCTCACCCCATACAAAGCTAGGCCCATGGATGTCTCCTGCTGCTGTTAGCCACATTCTTCAGGCCAGTTGTCATATCCAGTACATCTGCCTGTATTGCTTCTCATCTCCCACTAGGCAGGCAGGATTTCTGCTCCAGTCTTTATGTCCTGTGATGTGGAAATACATGTTTGCATGTGCTGTTATGTAGCGAAAACCTCCAGCTTCTTAGTTGACAGAAAGACACAGATGAATAGAGACAGCCTGATTTGGACCTCTGGGCATACTCGCCCTCCACTGTTGCCTTTTGGGTCTGAGACACATGCATGCTGATGTCTATAGCCTTGTGTAAGTTGCATAGTCTGTGTATTTTCTAGAGAATAAAGCCTATTCTAGCTAAGAGGCAGAGTTATGAACCCAGCTGTGCGTGACTGATAATTTTGATTTTTCATGAATTTTGCATCAAGACTGCAGTTCCTCTTCTTCGTTTGCGCTAGTGTTGGAATATCTTGTGATCTTGTAGGATTTATCAGGAGAATGTGTATAAACAATGTGACATGCTTCACTGTTATGAAGAAATATATCAATTTTCTTTCTGAGAAACTGGATGTATAATTTATCAATGATTGTATGGTGTGTTCATTGTGGTGTAACAGATAGACTAATGGACTAGGGCTCAGAAGACCGGGTTTGATTCCTTGACTCTATGGAAGCTCACTGGGGGTGGAACTGTGAAAAAACACTTCTTAAATACCTCACTTTGACTACCCTCTTAATCTGTTCAGACTTGATGGCACATAACAAAAGCAGCAGCAGCAACAGTTAAATAGTGATTTCATCCTGACCCTCAAGTCACAGAGAATCTGAATGTCGGATTCCTATCAGCAAAACAGTTGGTGGAGACATAGAGATGTTTTGGAGCACAAGGAGAGGAAAATGTTCTTTCCCTGAAACATCCTTGCAGAATTGCTCCAGGACCTTAATAGAATATAACTTTTCAGAAGGTTCCAGGCCATTACATTTAGTTCATCCAGCAAAGCATTTGTGTTCTGAATTCTTTAAGGCAAACAGCGGTGGAGCCAAAGTGGCCATCTGCTGTTTAGTTTAATTATCTTAATTGTGCTCTGTCTTGAAGGCAGGGCTGAAGACTGAGGAGCCAGATTCAAGAAGGCAAGGATCCTTCAGGCTCTGAGTTGGCGGGAGGAAAACTCCCTGCGGGAGCATTGTTCCAAATACAGCAGCCCATGCGTTGATCCAATGTATGGAGCCAATCTCCAGCTCTCTAGCTTTCTTTCCCCCACCGAAAGAGAAGGGCCTGAAAGCAAGGAACCGAAGAGGTAGCAGCCACCAGCCGTATGCGTGCTGCTGAACGAGCGCCAACTCAGCGCCGCTAATGACTTTCCCATGTTTTCTGGCATAGCTGTGGCCTGGAGGGAATGCAGATATCTCTTTCCAAAAGCCTGTTCATGTAACAGTTGCTGTGAGAGGGAGGTGGAGAGAGGAGCAGGAGGCGGCGGCTGGGCCTCTTAAACCCCGAACAGTAGCACGGCGCTCTACCCGCTACACCTGGCTCCGTGCTTTGGTGGATCAACCTGGTCGCCGTGACGTGGCATCAAAGCTATTTTTACGGTAGAGTGCAGCTCAGAGCAAAACATTCCAGGCGGCATATGGCTTCCTCCACCCCAGCGGAGGCTTGTTCTGCTATTCCAAGGGACTGTGTAAGGTGTTGTAATAGGGCGGGTCTGTCTTCCCTTCTCTCCCCCCCCCCCCCCGGTGCCACTCCTTCCCTCGTATGCAATATGTAGGTTCCTGGATCCAGCAAAATTGAAAGCCACGTACATGTTTTGGGGACCAAACCTCTTCATGCTGCAGACTAGGCAGTGTGCGCGCCCATGTATTCACTGCCCCACATGTGAATGCTTGTCTGTACACCTCCCCGCACATAGAAAGCACATACTGTACATTGGAAGCACAGGCAGGCCTGAAGTTGGGCTATGGAAAATTTCTCTCTGAGAAGGCTGGTTTACTACATTCAAGGAATTTCAGACATGAATATCCTGTTTCCTTTGCACCAATAAACTGTTGCCGGAAGTACCAATACTGTAGTCCAGTGTTCTGTGGGTTCTGAAAATTACTCTCCTTTCTAATTTTGGGAGGAAAAACATAAGACAACCGAGAAGTAATCTTTTTCCTTCTTTCTTGTGTCTGGCATGGAACAAAGAAAAGGTTACTTTTTCTTTGTTCCTTTGAAGGTCCATACCTGTATTCAAACCTTGCCCAGAGCTTTGGAAAAGTCAGGTGAAGCATTCACGATGCCTATAGAATTTTGCCTCGTTCGGAATATTCACCTTGCAACAGCCAAGTAAGAATGGTTGGTTTTACTGCAAGTAGTGGTTCAGTTGGAAGAAAGGGGTTTGTCTCAGCTCCACACACACACACCCGCCTTAAAAGCTGAGATAGCATCTGAACTGGACTGATCTTGACTCTTGTTTCTTTGTGACTGTCCATAGTTTCCTGCCTTTCACTTTGCAAGCCACTGCTTCCTTTTCTTTTCCACTCTGCTTCTGGG